AATAACTGCTAAAACCATTCCGTGAAAGACTGAGCAGAAAGTTATAATGGATGGACCGGGCAAACAATGCCTGACCCCAATGGCCAATTTTAAGAGAGAGAACGAGACCTTTACTGCCTGCGGATGTGGTACACACCATCACCGATTAAGTACAAGGGCCAAAATAAATACCTTAATTACATTAAGGGACTAGAGGGTCACATTAAAGAAAAGCAATCAGCCAAATCCACAATGTGACAAGTTTACGGGACAAACAACTTGATTTTTTTTCAACAGATGAAAAAAAAAAAAGAGGAGAAATTGCTATATAGATCAAGGCTGAAGACACAGTCAAATGTAATAGGTGGAACATGTTTAGATTCCAATTCAAACAAACCAATGGCATAAAACATTTATGAGATAGTTGAAGAAACTGAATACCAAATGGATATTAGGTAATATTTAAGAATTACTACTGTCCATTTTCTTAGGTGTGATAATGATACTGTGATTATAGAGAACAAAGGGAGAGAAAAAGCTGTTATTTCTTCGAGATGCATATTGGAGTACTTATGAATGAAGTGATACGATGTCTAGGATTTGCTTTAAAATAATCCAAGGTAGAGAGTGTGTGTGGGGGGGCATATATGAAATAAAACTGACTATATATGAAATAAAATTTACCATACCTATTGTAACTGGGTTGTGGGTATAAGGTATTATACTATCCTTTGTACTCTTGTATATGTTTAAATTTTTCCACAAAAAGCTATAATGTAAAAAGAAAATAACGAAACCTAGATTCAAACACCAGGGTTTATTAAATGCAGGACCTGGGAGATCTCTTGAAACCTCTGATCTTCAGTTTTCTCATCTGAAAACGGGAATGATAATCCCTACTTCACTGAACTGCTGAGAGGAATGAAAGGAGATCATGGATTCACACCTTTTGGAAATCCAGTTCTCATAAACCACAAAACTACTACAAATGTTAGCACAACACTTAGGTCTCTTTCTGCATTGCTCTGGAAGCAAAGATTATATTTCTGGGACTAGAAATGGTAATGGGCTGAATTCATTTAATTTGGGTTTTGTAGTAACTCTTTAATATGACACTGTTCACTTCATATTGGCCCCTTCCTCCCAAAAGGACAGTGTCAAAGGTATCTGCAATACACTGAAGTCCTCTAACTTCAGCTGTTTATATTTCGTTTACTTTCCCAATTATTCGCATTTCCCCTACTAAACGATAGAAAGTAAACTTACAGGAGGCTAAGTGTTGTTGAGATAAAACTGAACACAATTAGGAATCAATGTAATCTAAATAAGACTTAATTTAAAATATTCCAGGTACTTTTAGAAGAATAGACATGTATCTTCCAGCACTAACGCTTCATCTCAAGTGAAAGGAAATTAACAGAGGTTCAAGTCTCAAGGAACACAAAGGGAAATTTGGCACAATCTGGCTTCAGCTTGCAGAGTGGGTCGGAGGGGGGCAGAGCGAGATCTCTCTATAATGTAAATATGATTAAGTCATTTCCCTTCCATTCAATGGCTTCCCTCTCCTTTCAGGAAAAAGTGCAAACTCCGGAACAAAGGCTCAGGTGGCTCTCCAGCCATATTTCCATCCTCCTCCGGGACTGACCCCTCCTTCTAGCTACAGGCAGGGAAGGCTTCCTCTTCCACCCAAGTCCTATTGATTCTCCTGAAACGTCTCTCAAATCTGCCCTCTCCATCCCATTCCTGCTGCCACTGCCCTAGATCAGACATTTTTTTTTTAACCTTTACTCCCCCATCTTCCCAAACAGGATATATCCTTATTGCTTTTTCTGATTATGAAAGCAATTCATGTTCATAAAAAAGAAAAAGTGCGGTAAGGAAAGGAATAAAAATTTCCCCATGATCTCATGACACAGACATAAAGAGCTTTTTGGTACATTCATGTTCATGGCAGCATTATTCACAATAGCGCAAATGAAGAAGCAACCCAAATGTCCACCCACAGAACGGATAAACAAAATGTATATATACATGCAATGCATATACACAAAATGTTTATATACATACAATGGATTATTCAGTCTTAAAAAGGAAGACACATGCTACAACATAGGTGAACCTTGAAAATGTTATGCTAAATGAAATAAGCCCATCACAAAAAGGCGGATATTGTATGATTCCACTTCTACGAAATATCTAGAGTAGTCAAATTCATAGAGACAGAAAGTAGAGTGGTGGCTGCCAGGGGCTGGGGGAGGGGGAAATGGGGAGATGTTTAATGGGTACAGTTTCAGTTTTGCAAGATGAAAAAGTTCTGGAGATTGACTGTACAATATGAATATCCTTAACACTACCAAACTGTACATTTAAAAACGGTTCAGATGATACATTTCATGTTATAGGTATTTTACCATAATTACAAATAAAAAAATTTTACAGAACTAATCTTTCTAGACACTTTTCCTATAAATACATATGTATGCATTTAAAAAATAAAAAATAGGAACATATTGTAATCTGCTTTTCATACCTAACCATATGTTAAACATCTTTCTCATATATATATATATATATATATATATATATATATATATATCTATCTATCTCCCACCTCACTCTTTAATGGCTGATAGTACCCTTCATATGACTGAACCATAATTTAACCAGTCTGTTTGTAGTTTTCCAATATTACCAAAACATGATAGTCAACACCTTTGCATATTTTCTCATTATGTCTTAAAATAGACATCTGTTTTTTTACATGCCCTTTTTTGGGTATCTCCAGGCAACTCTTGTTCTATTTGGCAAGCCTGGATTCATTCATTGATTCATTCATTGATTCATTCATTCATTCGCTGAGCCATCCTGCCACCTGTTGGCAGCTCAGCAGCAGCTCAGCACGGGCCGGGAATCGAACCAGCAACCCTGTTGCTCAGACTCAGAGCTCCCATTCTTGAGCAAGCTCTTAACCAACTGGGCCACTCGGCCGGCCCTTGGACACATTTATTTTAAAGTTTACTCCTACATATTTATTTTTCATGTTGTTATTGTCATTTCTCCTACAATTACATTTTCTGATGATCGCTCGCATAAAGCAATTGCTCTTTGTCTATCTTGTAGCTGCTTGTTCACGTAACCTATCGTACTTATTTTTAACTTAATTCTGTTGCGTTTTCTCAGTGGATAATCATCATATCATAGGTAGACCACCATGTCCTCTAGGTTGTCATTAAGACTAAAAGCTCTGGGGTCAGGCAGACCTGGATTCAAATCCTGCGTAAGCACTTTCCCTCAGTCTCCTCATCCATAGCTGGAAATTATAACGGAGATGGTCTCACAGCGTTGTTGCAAAGATTACGCTCACTGAGACTGGTACATGAAAAGTGCTTAACACAATGATAGCTCAATAAATGTCCGCTATAATGAAAATATAACGTTCTCTCCACACTTGCAACGTTTATTTCTCTTTTCTTCTGGCATTAAACTGGTGCGCTCCTTTCTGGCGTTTACCTTGCTTCCCACTTCTCCAAAAAAGTAGAAGCCATTAGGCTCGTTTTAAAGTATCTGTGCTAAGGATCTCATCCACGCTCACCTTCTCAGGAAGGTTGTGTTACTGACTTTACCCTTCATCTCCTGTTTTTTTCTCAGCCTCTCCCTCTTTGCCATCAGTATTTAAATCTGCTCACGTCTCTTTCATGCTTAAAAAGGCTTCACCTGATTCCCCAATCGCTCGCTCTCCAGCCTTCTCTCTCTTCCCCTTCACAAACTTCTTTCAGCTGCCTACACTTTTGTCTTTAGTTTCTCACATCCCACTCACTCCTCATCCCACTGATATACTGCACTGAACCTTTGGAGGCTGCCGGTATTAGAGATTCCACCCCCACCATTTCACCAAATCTTCTCAATTAGGTCCCTAAGTGACCTCTATATTTATTTATCCAAAGGACACATTTTCATGTTTATGTAATTTGAAATCTCAGCAGCAGAAATCCCAAACCAGCAAAGTTGGGTTTCATTACTACACAATCCTAGGTTGCTTCCTATTCCTCGGCCATTTCTTCTTGGTGTAGACTAAGTGAATGGTTCTTCCAAGAGTGTGCAACACAGTGGCCCTGAATGATCTGGGCCTTTTTAAATCTCTCTGGATGGGTCTCTGCCCATATTGATTAAGCTCCAGTGGTACTGGACTGCTTTCATCTCCATGAATGGTACCTTTAAACACGTTTGGAAGACATGCCTTGAGGGCAGGGACCAGATTCCTTACTGTTTACACAATGCCTGGCACATAGTAGATGTGCAATAAATACTTTTTGAATCACCATAAATGAATGACTGCAATGTGAAGAGCAGGTTGGAGGAGTGATGACACCAAAAGAGAACAACAAAAACAGCCCTGATCTTTTTGAAACCTTACCCCCATCAAAACCTCACAACACGCACTGCCTGCTTAAAATCCTCTGATGGCTCCCCAGTGCCCCTCAAGATAAAGTCCAAACTCCTCAAAACTTACAAGGAGCTACAAGGAAAGTCTTTCAGAAGGGGTACCTGTTTATCTCTCAAACATCAACTAGACAGACCCCTTCCACTTCTCAGAATCTGTCTCTAGCCAGCCTGCAAAATCCGTACAGATGCCCAAGAAGCCTGCCTTCTCTTCCCAGGGCTTTGCACACACTGCTCTCTCTGCCTAGAGTACCGTGAACTTCACCAGCCTCATCTTCTGGCCAATACAAAAGCAGCCTTCGTGTCTCATTTTGGGAAGTCATCTTCTTTTGGGATCTCTCTCTGACCATTCACCCCAACCTCATCTCCGGAAATCTGGGTTCATTGCCTTCTCTGTGCATCCACAGTTCCCCGTATGTCCAAAATTGTAGCATGAGTCACAACCAAGTCCTATTTATGCAGTAAAACTGTGGAGTTCTCTGAGGACAAGATTCCATTCACTTTTTTACCCCTGGAGTTCAGCCCAGGCCATGGCTCACTAAACACGCTCCGTGTTGGACCTCCTTAAAGCACAGACATACCTTGGGGATATTGTGGGCTGGGTTCCAAACCGCTGCAATATAGCGAGTATCGCAATCAATCGATTCCTAATCTTTTTGCTAGTGGAGGGCCTTGCCTTCAATTTGTAAAAAGGGCAACACCTGTGAAGCGCAATACAGCCAAGCACAAATTAAATGAGGCATGCCAGTAGTAGTAATAATAAAAGCTTCCCAGTATCGAGCACTTCCCTGCAAGGGTTTTAAATATAAATTTACTTTGCAGTAGCCTCATAAGACAGGTGTTATCACGGTCCCCAATTTGCAGATGGGAAAACTGATGCACAAAGAAGTCAATCAGTCTTCTCTGGCCCCAGAAGAGTCGCACAGGCGTACATTTTCTGCAGTTTCAAGTTACTCCCCGGTCCCCAAATAAGAAGGGTTTTTTTCCTTCTTAAAGAAACTTTCGGGTCAGGTCAAGCAATGGCCCCCAAATATAACGAACAGCCAAAAGCACACTCCACGCCAGCGCCAGGCAGAGTTAAAGGGCATGAGGGGGTGCCGCCCCGGCGCCGTTGAGGGGATAAGGGTCCAGCTCCAGTCTCCTTCCCGGGGGTCCCTCGCCACCCAGCCCCTTGCTCCCTGGAACGAATCAACACCGGGGCGGCGCGTTTGGGCCGCGACTGCCGGCTCGGCCCCTGCTCACCTGCCGTCCCACCGCCTCGTCGAGCTCGGGCCGCCGGCCCGTAGCGCCTCCCCCGGGCTGCCAGGCGCCCGCAGCGCGCCGCGGAGCCTGTTGCCTCGGCAACCAGAGCTGCCGATCTCCCGCGGCTTGCGCTACGGCGGCTCAGAGGGGACCAGGAAGGTTCGCGTGCTCTTCCGCCGCCCCCTAGCGGGCGGAGAAGGGAAAGCCGATCGGGAGTCGGGTCTTTAAGCGGTGAAGGACTCGGTGGGGTTTGGCATTCTGGAACTTGGCCCCAAGTAAAGGGAGAAGGAGGGGAATGCTGAGGGAAAGGAGGACAGCAAGGCCGGGGGAGGAGCTGAGCGTCGGATCCTGCCTGTGCCTCAGTTTCTCTCTCTGTAGTCTGATGGACACCATTCTGGGAGAGGACAGGGCCGCAGGCGGAAACTCGCTAGACTGGGAATATTTATAGACGTGAAAACTGATGTGGGTGGGGTAGGCAGTGGTGTGGCAAAGAATAAATAAATGTGTTTCTTTGGGCTTAAGATGAGAATTAGCTCACTAGATTTACTTTCAATATGGGAAATAATTTGTAACCAGCACTTGTACTTTTTGGAATAATCCTACAGATACACTGGAACCTGAACACAATGGATATTCATTGCTCCATTTTTTTTTTCTTTCTAAAAGCAAAAGGGTTGAGACCAGTCTAAATGTCCATCAGTAAGAGACTGAGTAAATGAATTATGGTGATCCATGAAACAGATTACGATAGCAAGACTTGAGAGACCAAAAACCTATCTTCAAGCCATGCATACAGCAAGTCCCATCTTTGCTTTTCCTCTTACCTTCAACCTTACCCCAACCCTGCCCCAGTCTACTCTCCACCCAGCAGCCAAAATGTCTTTTAAAATGCAAACATTATCTCCCCCGAAAAAATATCCCCACCATTCAACAGCTTTTCCATCACATTTAGAATAAAATCTAGAGTTGTTACCACGGTCAACGTCATCTCTCACCATTTCCCCTCTTGTCCATGCTCCAATCACACTGGCCTTGCAGTATTGAAGTGAAGCTTGCTTCTGTCTCAGAGCCAGTCCTCTTGCTGCTGTTCCATATTGGGACCACTCTTCCTCCAGATATCCCTGTGGCTTGCTTCCTCACTTCCTTCCCATCTCTACTCAAATTGTTCCTGCTTCTTGATTGTGTCCAATTCAAAACAGTTCCCCACTTCCTGAAATCCCACTGAGAGACACTTAGCACAAACACAAATCCTAAAATAAGCTCTTCCAAGTCCCTCTTACCAAGATACCTCATGGTTTCTCTGGTGTGTGTTCTCGCTTAATAAACAAGCTAAATAAATCAAATTTTTTTGGCGACAGGTTTGTTCCTGGTAGAATCTGATTGTGGTCTTTAATACAGTCTTAGCTTACTTCTGCCCAGTCCAATAATACCCAGACAGGAAGAAGCAAGGATTTTAAGAGCTACCTGGAAGGTTCAGTGGTCCTGAAGCTACCTGACTTGGGCAGGTATTTTTTTTTGGGGGGGGGGGCGGGGGCCGGGAAAGGCTGAGGTAGGAATTAGGAAAGCTTAAGTAATTCCCCTTCCTCTGCCATCAATCCTTTCTGTGGCCTTGGGCAAGCCATTTCACTTTGAGCCTTTTTCCATTTCTATAAAAGAAGAGATTCGAGTATATTTCTAAGGTTTCTTCCAATCTAAATATTCTAGGTGTCCCAACTCTACAGGTTCTTATATTCCCAGGTAAATGTTCCCCTACATTATTCATTTGTACAACATTGTCATCATTGTTGCCATACCTACATACCACCTATACTGTTAGGTATATAAATAAATTATTTTCAAGTTTTTTTCTTTAAATAGACTCAATTTTTACTTAAATTTACAAAGGAAAATTTACATCACTGCTTAAAAGGAAAACCAGCATTGCTTGGTAAAAATGGAAGAATTTTTGCAAACACACACACAAACCCTAAAACAAAACAGTGTTGTTTAACTGCAGATGTGGTTGCCTTTGGAGAGATTTGGAAAATGAAGCTTTCATTCTATTAAAAAGGAAGATTAGTAAATGTTAGAAAAATGTTAAATACATACTAGTCTCAAACAAACCTTCTCTTTGATTTAAAACAGGACTTTCTCACTGTGTCTTCCGGTGTTACCGAATGTCATGTTCATGCACCTTTGAACCTTTCACTTACCCCAGAGTATACAGAGCGCACATTTTAGGAAACAAAGTCCATCTTTCCCTGATTAACTTGGACTCATCTTTCCGTTCTCAGATTAAATATAAATTCCACAGAAAAGCCTACCCCCAACTAAGTTGGTTTCCCCTTACAGGTTGAGCATTAAATGAACTTTATCGAAAGAATAGTCCCTTAGACTACTTCATAGTACTCATCACAATATGTCGTGGTGCATTTATGCGCATTGCCAGTGTCTTCTTAACTAGACCCATAAATTCTTGTGCACTTCTGAACCCCAGATCTTGACACATAATGGGCTCCCAGTGAAAACAAAGATAAGGTGAAGAAATAAAGCCTTCACAACTCCGGCTGGGACCCGTCTTCTTCTCTCCAGAACCCGGCCGGGTTAACCCCGCCTGCCTCCTCAACCCCAGGCAGGTTTAGCCCCGCCTCCTCCCTTAGCTCAGCGAGGATTGAGCTCCGCCTTCTCCCTCTACCAATAACAGGTGCCCTCTAGGCCGCGGCCGAGGGCGGTGGGCGGGGGCCGCGCAAGGACGCTCGCCGCGCGTTTCCGGCCTGAGAAACCGTCGCGTTTCTGCGGAGGCACCTCGACTGGCCGCCACCACCGGGCTAGAACCCTGTGGGTCGGCCGCTTCCATCACTAGCGTCACCATGGGAGCTGTGCTGGGCGTCTGCTCCCTTGCCAGCTGGGTGAGTTCCGGGGTTTGATGTCTCCGTCCGACCTGTGATTGGAGGGAGGGCGATAGTGATCCCCCAAGACCAGACCCAACTGGCCTCGGCCGCAGAGGCCTGGGGTGGGAGTGGGGGGACCGGCCCTGGCTGGGCTGCAGAGAGTATCCAAGGGCCCAAGCCGAAATCCGCGATGCCCCGAAATCGGGATCCGGCGGCTCGCCTTCCGGGCTTGTTAAGGAACGTAGGAGGCCAGGTCGCCATTGTTTACATTTTCGATTGCCCCGCCCCAGCGAGCCTTCCGGCCTGTGGGTTCCTCTGAAGCTGGAATTGGACCGAGGAATAAAGAGTTCCCGGGGCAGCGACTCTCGGTTTCATTTCGAAGCACCCTCTTAAGGTGGCGCCATTTAATTTGGGTGGCTTGAAGAACATTTTTACCCCATAGCACGGGATTTGCCAAAGCTACAGAGTATGTGGCAGAGCTGCGATTTGAACTGAGGCCCGTCTGCAGCTCTGGTGTAAGCGGATAAGAAGGCCTGTGGATTACGATTCAAAATTGGAAGCCATGGTCTGAACTCTTGGGACCTTGCACAAGTCGTTTATGGGGGGGGGGGGAGCTTCCCCCAAAACAAGGATAGTCACCTCAGCATTCCTCTGCCTTGGAGAGCTGTTGAGAGGATAAAAGTGAATAAATGGGTTGAATCACTTTGTAGATTGTAAACGCCATATTTTAAAAAGGAAATTTTAGCATCTGTGGAATAGATTATGCCGAGTTCCCTCACGTACTCACTTCAAAGGAGCAAGATTTCTCGAAATTATTGCCTTGTTTCCTAGTTCCCGACCTGATTTAATTGATAAAGGACTCAATCTCAGCTCATTCCGCTACCATTTTTTAGGAACAGAGTGTATTTTCCATCCTTTACAGTTGTCAATCTCTAATCAATAGGGCGGGTTTCTTGAGAGCAATGGCTTTCCAATTTGTTTGGCCTTGACCTAAAGTAAGAAAGCAATTTTACATAGTTGGATTAATACATTTTTTTTAAACGCAAGTTTCATGAAATAATTCTTACCTTTACTATCTGTTGTACAATTTTTATTTTCTGTCACATTGAAAAAGTCCTGGTCAGTTGATTTTTAAACAATCTACTCGTGGGTCAAACTCACCAATTACAATATAGATCTAGAAAAAATATAGTTACAAAGGTCATTAATTAAGGAGTGAATTGATAATTTGAAGCAAGTTATGTCCTTTCTGTCCTAATAACCCGAAACACATTTTGGCTTTGATGTAAAGCTAAGATTTGAATTGATGCCATCAAAGCACTTCTATCTATAAAACACTTTACTATTTTATTAATCCTTTTTGTTCAGTAGGAAGAGCAAGGGGTTCAGTGTGCCAGAGAACAGAATGACTGAGGGGAAGAATAATATAATAGGAAATGAAGTCAGAAAGCAGCAGGGAGCCAAGTCATGTAAATTCTATTGTATACTCTTGTAGACCAATTTAAGGACTTGGGCTTTTGCTCTTAAATGATATGGGGATCCATTTCAGAAAAGAAGAATGATGTCATGCAAATTGTGTCTTAAGAAGATTGTTGTGTGCAGAACAGATGGTAGAAAATAGAGGGTAAAGCAGGTTAGGGGAGGGAGGACTTCTCTTCTACCCTCTGTGGGGTTAGTGGTTAGGGGCCTGTGAATTAAACGGACACAAGACAGAGTAACAAGAAAAAAAAGAGTTTGTGAATGCATGCAACACATACAGACATGCTCAGTGATGAATAGCTCAAAAGGGGTGTTTATAGAGCATAGGGCTTATACTCCTAACTTAAAAGGGAAAAGGAGGGGGTAAGGAAAGCACTTCTATGGGAAGAACAAATGAGTTTCTTCAGGAAAGACAAATGGGTTTTTAGAACAAACAGGAGATAAGAAAGTTTGTGATAATACTTGTTCGGGTAGATGTAGAGGTCTTTTTGTAGTCTTCAGGGCCATAAAACTGCCTCGGAGAGAGAATTTATGGCAGCCTTATATCCCTGAAGTTGCTTTTAGTCAGATGAGGAAAGCTCCAAGAGGGCTTTTTTTTCCCGCATTTGTTCTGAGCCTCAAATGTTTTCATCCTAAAATAATCTTTATACCAACTCTGGGTTCTGAATGGGTCACTACAGCAGTAGACAGGAGCTACTGCATTTAATCCAAATGAGAGATGATAGTAGTGGCTTGGACCAACGTGATAAGTAAGAATGCTATGAACGTGGTCCGATTCTGGATATATTCTGAGGATAGAGCTGATGTGCTGGCAGATTGGATGAGGGTTTTGGAAAAACAGAAGGCATCAAGGATGGCTCTGAGGTTTTTGGGCTGAGCAACAGGAAGAATAGATTTATCATTTACTGAGATAGGGAGGTGACATAACATATAGTAGGACAGGTTGGTTCCACAGACCTTTACACAGTAAGTACTTGATTCATTTTTGTGGCTGAATAATATTCCATTGTGTTGATATACCACATTTTACTTATCCATTCACTAATTGATACACATTTGGGGTGTTTCTGCATTTTGGCAATTGTGAATAGTGCTGCTTTGAACATTCATGTGCAAGCTTTTGTTTGAATACCTGTTTCGGTTCTTTTGGGTGTATGTTTATGAATGAAATTTCTGGGTCATATGGTAATTCTATGTTTAACTTTTTGAGGAATCTCCAGGTTACTGCTCTTGAATGGAGCTAAATGACTCTTGCTATCATTTATAAGGGTTTCCATGTAATGTTGCTTTATGCTATAATATCAGATTTGGTTACTAGAATTCTCACTAAATAGCAAGTAGAGTTAGGTTTGTATTTTCCTCAATATTGATATATGTTGTTTTTAAATACAGTATGTTTTCTGTATGACTATAAGTAACATGTATTGGGCTCTTTGTGTGTTTTAGGTACTGTGTTGAATGCTTATTTAATATAGTAATGTCTGAGGGAGGAAGATTTGTTATTGAGTCTCTTTTACAGATGAAGAAATAAGTTTGTTGAGGTAAAGTGGCAGAACTAATATTGACTCCAGAGGCGATGCTTTTAACCACTTCTGTCCAGCCCTCATTCTCTGAGTTAAAACTGTCAAAGCCTGATTTCTTTTGTCTTCTATTCCACCATACCTATGTCATGAAGGAGTCCACAAAAGGAGGTCTCAAATGGTTCTGGTGTGCTTATTACAGGTTCCATGCCTTTGCAGTGGTGCATCATGTTTGCTGTGTGGTTGCTGTCCCAACAGCAAGAACTCCACTGTGACGCGCCTCATCTATGCTTCCATTCTCTTCCTGGGCACTATTCTATGCTCCATCATGCGGACAGACTGGATGGAAACTGAGCTGAAAAAGGTTAAGTAGAAGTAACAGTGCCCTTAATATACTGGTTATTTTTATATTTTGCAAAATTTTAGTTGAAATGAATGTTGGTATTTCTTCAGTATTGTGAAACTCAATGAAGATCATTGTCATTTGGGGTACAGTCAAGACACAGAATATAAAGGTATTGCTCTTGTCCAGAAAGAAATAAAGGTAGTCAGAATGAACATCTGTATGTTTTCGTTTAACAGCTGAGAGAAAACAGATACTAAAAGAATGGCACTAAGACGTTTTCTTTCTGTGTATGTTTAAGATTTAAACATTTAAACTGGACTAGGCGTTCATCTTTGGAAAGAGTGAGTTGTAGCATGAAAATTCATGGGAAAATAGGGGTTAACCTCATCAGTAAAAAGGAGCAAAGAAGAGAGCACTTCGCTTTTATTTTCAAAATGCAAGTTGTTTATACTATTTGGTTTCAAGATTATAAATGAATTGGAAGACAAAAAGAAAAACTCCACAGGACAGTCATGCAGTTGTTAAAGAAGTCAGTTTTGTAAATCTAGGTTTTCCTATAGTGGGATAGAATCTCTGCTGAAATGTGGATGTTCCCATAACATCGAAATGACTTTTTTCCAGGTTCCTGGATTCTGTGACGGGGGATTTAAAATCAGGGTGGTTGATATGAAGGCAGACAGAGATTGTAATGTGCTGGTCGGCTATAAAGCTGTGTATCGGATCAGCTTTGCCTTCACCATCTTTTTCTTTGCCCTCTCTCTGCTCATGATAAAAGTAAAATCGAGTAAAGATCCCAGGGCAGCAATACACAATGGGTACGTAAGATTTATTTATTCATTTATCTACCTGCTTATTTATTTATTTATGAGATTTCTTTTTTTTAATGAGTTTATTTGAGCCAAACTGACAACATGCCAGGAAGCAAGATCTCACACGCTCCCAAGATTTATTTTTTATTAAATTGTTATATTATGGCGTGGATTCTCCCATTCAGCAGTTAATGCTGCCATTCTGATGGAAGCAGCAGAGTATGTAACTCAGTGGCCCAGATATATGTCTGACCTATTTATACATGTGAAGTTGTTTCAATGGCATTTTCAGTTGGAGCCCCATGGTGTGGAGGAGGTAGACAGGATGAGGGGAGTCTTATCTTTTTAATACATTTTGCTTCAAGTTTCTAGTTTTCTATCAGACACCTATGAAACAGTTCAAGCACTGTGCTAGGCACTACACACACACACACTGTTTTTTCTATTGTTAAAATGTAAGCATGTATGTGATATGTTTAAACAGTATATAAAAAGACAAATAGTGACTTATATTTGGGCCACTGATTTACATACTCTGTTGCTTCTCATTCCTGGCCCCTGGTTCCCCTAATTCTTACTTGAAGACTGAAGGGAGTTTTGTAAACTTTATGTGTATTATAATCCCCTTTTTACAGATGCAATAATTGCATTTCATAGAGGGTAAATAAATTGCTTGAGATCTCTCAGCCACTGAGGTTTGGAGCTGGGATTGAAGCTTAGGTCCATCTAGCTCCAAAGCCTGATTTTTTTCTACTCTGCCATATAAGGCAGTCTTCAAAGATCACGAACTGAAAGCCAGGTTTGGTCTTAGCTTGGCCAGTGATGAGCTGTGTCATTGCAGGCAAGACACTTGGAGCCTGTGTTGTAAAAGAAGGATTAGGTGATAGCTTTTCCTAATGATCTAACCATTAATTGCTCTATATGTAGCTAACATTATTAGTTTAGAATGCTCTAGAATTCTAGAAAAATTCCTGCCTTTTAAGTGTTAAAAGTAGGGAAACTCTATAAAGATACATGTTTCTCTTATAGAATGTTCTGTTCTGTTCTCTGTGCTGTTTGACCTTAAATCGTATGAGATAATTGAATGAAGTAGCTTCATGTCAAGTGATGATCTAAACCCAGATAGTCATGTTGAAAATGCTACTGTTGCTTATTTTTGCATTTCAGAAATTCATTTTTATTAGTGTAATGACAAAAGTTAGCATTTTATAAATGCACTTTTGTATTTTATATAGGTTTTGGTTCTTCAAAATTGCTGCCCTTGTTGGTATCATGGTTGGCTCTTTCTACATCCCTGGGGGCCCTTTCACCACAGGTATGGCTCACTATTAAGGGGGTTAATTGTAACATATAGACTCTACAAATGATTGAGCTAAAGCTGTGTTTTCATTACTGATTTTGCAGAATTGACAAATGAAGTTTTGTCCAATTATATGACGTGGTACTAATATTAAGATATTTATTTATTGATTAAAGCCAGGAGGCATTCAGTTTACTTTTCCGCTGTTCTGGAACCATATGTTAATTGTTTGCCAATATTTGAATAGTTTACCTTCTCACTTGACAATACTAATTGGAGAGCTTGTCAACATAAGGACTTGTAACTTATGTGCTCCTGTAGCATGGAGGAGGTAGATGGGGTGATGTCTTAACCTGCTTACTTACCATGGCATCAAGTGACATCTGTGGATTTTCACTGTGATCCCCCCGCCCCGCCCCCGGTAAAGTAAAGAAAAGGCTTACAATACCATGTGGAATATCATATCCTAGGCTCCTGTTGGCACAAGCTAGAGTAAGCTTTAAAAGGACTGAAACCCAACAGAACACTTCTTAAGAGACTGCCTTTGAGTTTGGAATTGGAGTAATCTTGCAGTACTGCTGGAGGCAGAATATGACTTTATCACCTCTCTTACTTGAACTGAAATCTTTTTTAGAATGTTGGACAGTAACATTCTGAAATATTATTTCTATTGTAAGGAATAACTTTGTTCTTTTGCTTTATAGCCTGGTTTTATATTGGCATGAGTGGGGCCGCCCTCTTCATCCTTATCCAGCTGGTGCTGTTGGTAGACTTGGCTCACTCTTGTAATGAATCATGGGTAAATCGAATGGAAGAAGGAAACCCGAGGTGCTGGTATGCAGGTAGGTATCTAAACTCACCTATGAGGGCCATACTACATTATGCTGCATTAGACAGGGCGTACAGAGAAAAACCTCCATTGACTTAAATGTATAAACTCCCAGAGTAGAGCTGACTTTTTAAAAACTAATTTCCCATTGAATACATTCCAAATTATATACATTCCTGGAAGGGAGTAGCACAGATCACATAAATCATTGGGTTCTCCCAATTCACTAATTTTGAGATGTGTTTTGATAAGGGAAAAAGTTATATTTAGTGACATAGTCCTAGTTTTCTTTTTTTTTTTTTTTAAGATTTTATTGGGGAAGGGGAACAGCCAAATTGTTGTCCTTTAATCTTAGTTGTGGAGGGTGCAGCTAGCTCAGCTCCAAGTCTAGTCGCCATCCGGCTGCCCGGCAGCAACTCGTGGCCACTTAGCTCAAGGTGCCATGTTCAATCTTAGTTGTGGGTTGGCGTAGACCACCATCCCATGCGGGAGTCGAACCAGCAACCTTGTTGTTAGGAGCACATGCTCTCACCAGCTGAGGCATCCTGCCACCTGTCGGCAGCTCAGCAGCAGCTCAGCTTGGGTGCAGCTCACTGGCCCATGTGGGAATCGAACCGGTGACCCTGCTGCTCAGAGCTCGTGCTTTTAACCAACTGAGCCACTCAGCAGGCCCAACATAGTCCTAGTTTTGATATCCTTGTTTCCCTGGACAGGGGACTCAGATGCATTCTACGTATGGGACATCTGCCAATATAGGCAGAAGGCTGTGGACAGTTCTTCCTGCTTTATTCAGAGTGTGACCCCACACCCTGTAAAAGCTGTCTGGTAGGAAAAGGGTGCTTAGAATTTTTAGGTTGGGAATAGGATTTCCAGCCTGTAATAATGGGAAGGGACTTGGGACCCCTCTACTTATTAGGAGCAATGACCCAGCCATACTTTAGTTTCAATCTGGGGGCTTCTGTCATTTCACTGTAAATTATTGACCACCATAAATAAAAGTGAAATAATGCCTCTTTATTTTTATATGGAGTAAAAGAAAATTGGTCGTCTTTATATTGTGGGCATTCATATTGGTTTCCCTTTTTTCAGTGTTACTGTCTGTCACAAGCACCCTGTATACTCTGTCAATCATCTTTGTTGGTTTGCTGTACACGTACTACACCAGACCAGACGGCTGCACAGAAAACAAGGCCTTCATCAGTATTAACCTGATCCTTTGCTTTGTGGTTTCTATTATATCAATCCATCCAAAAATTCAGGTACGGTTTTCTGCCTCGTCCACCTGTGAGATTTTTAATTGATGATAAACTTGAAACCTAGGTAACCTTTTATATGACTTGATGTCCAAGTTTTATCTACTTAAATGTTTTTCCATAGTATGATAAAGTCTTCATAATTATAACTTAGTAACTACGAAATGTGCCATTGAGTTGCCTGTATCATAATTAAATGAATAATTTTCCTATCATTGAAAAAAAACCTAGGTAAGTTAAGAATTTATATTGGGTTGTTGAAAAAGTCATGACGCATTTTTGCAGCGAAAAACATAGAAAAAATACATCATGACTTTTCCAACAACCCAATAATTCTTATAAAATTGTTTACATCGTGAGAATGATTCTTATGAATCATTAGCCAAGATATTTTAAAGGAATTAAACTAGAAATAATAATTGATTTTTTCATATTTAAAAAGAAAACTCATGTTCCTGAGTTTCATCACTTAAATACCATACTCTTAAAAATTTATAGTTTTATATATGAACTATGAAAAGAACATCTGGATATCAGCTCTCCTTCTAAAAGTTGAGAAAAGTGAGATTCCAGAGAGATGATGGGTTGCCTAGCTAGTTAGAGGCAAAGCTGAGTTTAGATTCAACTATTCTAAGGGACTAGTAAGTCTAAGCCTTTGTGTAACCCACAGGAATTTCCAGGATTATGAAATGCCTTGTTACTTGTCATCTTTCAACTGTCAAGCAGAACCAAAAGGTTCTCAGTTAATAGCAGTTCAGTGGGTCCCAGGAAAGTACAGTGGGTTTTAGAAGGTCAGCTCTTACAATTCTTTGGCATTGTTTTCCTTTTGATTCTGTAGGAACACCAGCCTCGTTCTGGCCTCCTGCAGTCTTCTGTCATCACCCTCTACACCATATACCTCACGTGGTCAGCTATGAGCAATGAACCTGGTAAGAGAATGTCAATTGCGCATTCATTTGATGATAAAGTAAGAAATTACTCTTTTGGTGGCTGCAAAAACTAGAGGTAGAGCAGGCGTCAAACAAACAAGTGAGCAAACAAACACCTTCACTGAAATGTATAATGTTCACTATATGTTTGCAGATGTTTACCTTTCAAGCTTTATTCTCCATGTCTATTCGTAGCTATTTATAGCTGACAGCCTAAAGGACCGCAGTCCTTTAAAGTACTCTAGGCTTTTCCCAGGACTAAGTCAAACTGGTTAAGAGCTAGACAAGGCAGCATTATTTTGGCCCTTTGTAGAATTGTTTTAATTGAATTTTACTTTGGTGTTATAGGCTCTAGAAGAAACAGCTGTAGGATATCTTTTGGGGTTGTTCCAGGATTGTTTCTCAGTAGGGTGTAGACTTCTTTTAAAGGAAAACAGTTATTGCAGATCCTCTAATGATGACTCAGCTTATTTTTATTATGTCCCTATGTAACAACAAAACGGGATAAATGCTTTGTGCTTAAAGCCTTTGCACAACTGTAGAACCAAAAAGATTTACCAATCAAGATTTAAAATCAAGATTGACATTTATTACATTTGTCAAATTGTTTCTTTTTTTCTAAAACTAAGTCACTGCTTGTAACACACATGTTACTGATTGCTAAGTTTCAGGGGTTTTTTGTTTTTTTCTTTTAATTTTTATTGAGGAACAGCCATGTTCATTGGTTACGCATCGCTTTCATGCTACAATGGCATAGTTGACTCTTTTAAGGAGGGCACCGCTCACAGTGGCCATGTGGGGGTCGAACCAGCAACCTTGGTGTTATCAGCACCATGCTCTAAGCTACTGAGCTAACCAGTCACCCCAGTTTCAGGCTCTTTTAACTATAGCATTCCAATGTTTTACTACATCATGACTGAATGATGTGTAGCCACACCCCTCAAATCCTTTCTTGGAAAAAGAGGAGTTGTAACTAAGGATAATAAAATATTTTCCGTTTTCAGATCATTCCTGCAACCCACGCCTCTGGAACATTATTACAGACATCACTGCACCAACCATGGCTCCTGCAAATTCAACGGCTCCAGCCCCTACTTCTGCTCCACCATCACAGGGTGGGCATTTTCTGGATACCGAGAGTTTTATCGGGCTGCTAGTCTTTGTTTTATGCCTTTTGTATTCTAGGTAAGTTAAAAAGGACTTAGAACAAGATTCTCGTGAAGGTTAATACTAGAGTGAAACAGCTATTTTGCTTTTAAAAAGCAGAGTGAAGAATTTACAAAAGCAGTTTAACTCTTTGTTGAACATACTTGACTGGCCTCAGTTACCAGCCGTGTACATTTCTTAAAAGTTCATTGAATCTTCTCATGAAATAATTCTTCCTAACCTTACCAAAAGAGACCTTCTCCTTTGTATGAAGATAAAGTCCACACCTGACCCTAGATCAACTAGAATAGTGGCTCTGAAAATTGGTTGGCTCGTCTTTAAAAAAAAAAAGAAAAAGTATTTCTTGATCATTGTAAATAATTACACAACTACAGGATCATACTCATCTGATGTGAAAGACTAGGAAATCCAAGACCCCAGATATAACCTGTTAGCAGTTTGCACTCATCCTCCCACTCATTTTTATTGATATTTTCTATATAATAGCATCTATTACTTAATAATTATTTTAAAATATATAATAAGAACAGTGGGCAAGGAGATATTTATATAAACTGGTAACATATGTGAGAAAAGTAAAAAGTAGGAAATGAAAGTATCCTCCCTGTAAATTTACTTCCTCCGTGCTTCACATTTGGTACATATTATTTCAGACTTTTTTCCTTTGCTTATACTTATTATTCTGTCTGCATTATATAGTTACATATAATTTTCCATATAGCTACATGCGTAATTTTATTTGTATCACTAGATATATAATTTTTGAAGTAAATTAGAAACATACTATATCAATACATATTCTATTCTGAAATATGAATTTGTCATTATACTCTGGACAGCTTTCCATAACATTATGTGTAGCTTTAACCTATTATTTTTTTTAATGATTGCTTAAAATAGGGGTTGGCCAACTACAACCCTTGGGCTGGCTGCCTGCCTAGTTTGGTAAATAAAGTTTTGTTGGAACACAGCTATGCTCATTTTTTTTCATATTGTCTATGATATTTTTGTTTGTTTTGCTTTTGGCCTAACATGTTTGTTATTGTTGTTTTTTTTTGAGATATCATTCACATATCATAAAATTCACCCTTTTAAAATGTTCAGTACAGTAGCTTTTTAGTATATTCACAGGGTTGTGCAACCATCACCACAATCAGTTTAAACATTTTATTTCCCCAAAAAGAAACCCCATACTCATTAGCAGTCACTCCCTATTGCCCTTCCGCTCCAGCCCTGGCAGACAGTAATCTCTTTTCTGTCTCTGTGGATTTGCTTATTCAAATGTTTCTTATACATAGAATCATACACTACATGGTCTTTTGAGATTGGCTTCTTTCACTTAGCATAATGTTTCAAGGTTCATGCATGTTGTAGCATGTGTCAGTGCTTAATTCCTTTTTATTGTAAGAAATAATACTCCATTGTGTGAATATACCACATTTTGTTTATCCATTTCAGTTGATGGACATTTGGATTTCCACTGTGGAGCTACCATGAATAATGTCACTATGAATGTTTGTGTACGTTTTCAGTTCTCTTGGATATATACTTAGGAGTAGGATTGCTGGATTATATGGTACCTCTGTGTTTCCCTTTTTGAGGAACTGCCAAAGCGTTTTCCAAAGTTCGAATCCCACCAGTAATGTATGAGGGTGTCAATTTCATCACCTCCCAATCATTACATGATAATAGTCTTTGATTGTAGCCATTCTTGAGGTTGTGAAGCAGCATTTCATTGTGGTTTTGATTTACATTTCCCTAATGACTAATGATGTTGAACATTTTTTCATGTACTTATTGGCTATTTATAGAAGAAATGTCTATTTAAATCTTTTGCCTATATTTAAATTGAGTTATTTGTCTTTTTATTGTTTTGTATATGCTTTGAGGTAAGGGTCCAACTTCATTCTGTTGAAAGTGGCTATCCAGTTGTCTCAGCACCATTTGTTGAAAAAACTATTCCTTCCTCATTGACTTGTCCTGGCATCCTTGTAAAAAATCAGTTAACCGTAAATGTAATGGTTTATTTCTGGACTCGAAATTCTATTTCATTGATCTGTATGTATATCTATTCTATGCCAGTACCACACTGTTTTGATTACTGTAGCTTTTGTAATAAATTTTGAAATCAGGAAGTGTAAGTCATCCAAATTCATTCTTTTTCAAGATTGTTTTGGCTATCCTGAGTCCCTTGCAATTTCCATGTAAATTTTAGGTTCAGCTTGTTAATGGCTGTAAAACAAACAAACAAAAACGGGTAATTGGCATTTTTGAAAGGGCTTGTGTTGTCTCTATACATCAACTTGGAGAGTTACCTTCTCAACAGTATTAAGGCTTCTAGTCCATGAACATGGGATATCTCATTTAGGTCTTTAATTTCTTTCAGTGGTGTATAGTTATTAGTGTAAAAGTCCTAAACTTCTTTTAAGTATTTTTTTTATGGTATTATAAACGAGATTGTTTTCTTAATTTATTTTTTAGGTTGTTCATTGCTAGTGCATAGAAATATAATTAATTTTTGTATATTGATCTTGTATCCTGCAAGGTTGTTTATTGATTTTAATAATGTGTGTATTCCTTAAGACTTGCCATATACCAGGTCAAGTCATCTGCAAACAGAGATCACTTGACTTCTTTTTTTTCCAGTCTGGTTTCTTTTATCTTTTCCTTGTCTAATTGTTCTGGCTTGGGCCTCCAGTACAATGTTGAACAGAAATGATGAGAGTGGAATACTTGTCTTGTTCCTGATCTTAGCGGGAAAACTTTTAGTCCTTCACTATTGAGTATGATTTTAACTCAGGATTTTTCATAGATTCCCTTTATTATTTTGAGAAAATTTTCCTCTATTCCTGGTTTGAGTGTTTTTATCATTAAAAGGTATTAGATTTTGTCAAATGCTTTTTTTAATGTCTGTTGAGATGGTCATGTGGTTTTTGTCATTTATTTGTATGTATTTTTTTATTGAGTCTAACTTTTGGTGAGCATCTGCTGTGTACTAGAAATGCCTAGATGACTAGGCAGTTCTTCGAATAGCAAGAAAGACAGGAATGACAAGTGCTATGGCAGAGGGAGGCAAAAGGAGCTGTGGGAATCTAACCCAGCCTAGGGATGGGGTGATGTCAGGGGAGGATTTCTAGAGGACACGGCACATAGCCAGAGAATTGAAGGACGGGTAAGTTAGCTGGGAGGATGTGGGTGGAACATTCTAAGCGTAGAAGAGGTACCTGTGAGGTCATGGAAGTAGACAATAAGAGCATAGTATGTTTTAGGGAACTCGTAAGCCGTTAAACCATCACGTAGTAACTGATGAGTACCACCTGTCTTGTGATGACAGGCAACAGTTCAGAACTTCAAGCAGGGCCCTTCAGAAGGCTGTCAGTCCCCAAAGTAGGAGCAGTTCAGAAATAATCTCCATGTATCTAGGCCAGTGGCAGCAGTTCAGCTTCATGGACGCTTTCTGATCGATCCTGTCTGTGATGACTTTCCAGCTTCCGCACTTCCAGCAATAGCCAAGTAAGGAAGCTGACCCTGTCAGGAAGTGAGAGCGTGATCCTCCGCGATACGGCGCCCAATGGCGCTGGCGATGAAGAAGATGGACAGCCCCGGCGGGTCCTGGACAACGAGAAGGAGGGCGTTCAGTACAACTATTTTTTCTTCCACTTCTTGCTCTGCTTGGCCTCCTTGTACATCATGATGACCGTGACCAGCTGGTACAGGTAGGCACAGACAAAACAGATGGAAGACCTCTTAGCCCCCTGGGCTGCCTGTAAAATCTCCATCCATTGCCCTGCCTTCAGAATAACCCTTTCTCTTACCCATATGATGGAGTTTTATTGGTACTGACTCTTTTCTGACATACATTTGACTTTTTGTCGTTTTGGACCTAAACTCCAGTTTGAATTCTTACAGTGCAAATCATGGGCGCTCTCCCAGGCTTGAGTACTTGAGAGAAAAAATCATGACGTAGGGCGATCTGACTCATCTTTGTTCAGTAATTTTTCTCTGTCTGGAGAGGGCCATATAGAGTATTGTGATCAAAGGATGATGTGGTCAGGACGGAAGGTTTCAGGGAGGCCATTTCAGTCTAGACTTTTACCAGTGTCTGGAACAGCCAGATGTTCTGAAGAACTTTGTCCAAGGATTAGCGTAGTCAGGGTTCTTCACACTGCCAAGAAGATAAAAGCCGTTTGAGGAGGAGAGTTCCCTGCTCATAAAAACTAAAACCAGCAGCTTCCTCGAGTCCCTTCTAGAAACTTACTAGGGAGTAGTGGCTGCCAAGTTTCACTGGAGACATTCTTGGCTTTGGCGCGGGGGCGGCTCGATGGCACCTGGCAGCTCCTTGACCTGACTCTCTTCTGTTTTCTTAGCCCTGATGCAGAGTTCCAGAATGTAACCAGCAAGTGGTCCGCCGTGTGGGTCAAGATCATTTCCAGCTGGGTCTGCCTCTTCCTCTACTTCTGGACCCTCGTGGCGCCACTTGTCCTCACCAACCGAGACTTTAGCTGAACCTCCGAGTGCCAAGGATGCCACTGAAATTCATAAAGGTTTCCTTTGCTGAAAGCCCTTTTGCTTTTGCTTCGACTAAAATACTAAGCGAATGCTGTGCAAATTTGACTATATCCACGTTTATGCTGGAGGGCAAATTACAAAATGATTGATGTAGGATCTGAACTTTTCCTTTACATGTATGTTTATTTGTAAGGATATAGCGCAAAGGGGACATGTTGCACTGTAAAGTGAGCTACAGCTGTGCTGTGAAGAGAGTTCTTTATGAAGACCTGTAGGTTCCTACAACTTTGATTTAAAATATAAGAGAAAAATGTTGGATATTTGAGGCTATCGTTAATATATTTCTATTGCAGTATCCTTGAGCAAAAAAAAAGAAAAAAAGAAAGTAATAATGTATTTCTATGACACTTTTCCTCTGTGCAACTCTTTCCTTGTGTGATACAAGCACTCTGTTCACTCCTTAAACTCTTAAGAGGTGTAGTCTCATGGGACTTGGGCAAAGTAGTATGTGTGGGGGTCTTTCCCGAGAAGGGTAGTTGCTGATATGGCTACTGCTTCAACATCTTGAGTTTTTTCACTTATTTTTATTATACTACAACACTGATGCTGCTTGATTTAAGTCTGTGGCTTTGCCAGAATGTTAATTTCAATAAATGCTTTGTAGGTTTGGTTAAAATGAAGATTCACTTGGGTAAACAGCGCACCTTTAGTCTATGTAATTATCTTGTTATGAGTATGTAAAAGTAAAATGCATGTGAGTTTATTACATTTGCACTATAAAGGTATTTGATTAAAATAGAGACTTTAAGCTTTTAAGGCCCTTTCTTTAACAGCTTTTATGAATTAGCAGCCATTCTATATGTTTTAGACTTATATGAGCGGTCAGATTTATCAAGCATCTAGCAGAATGCTCCTAGTCCTTCTAAAACTTAAGGGCTGGTAGTAATGTTTTGAACGCATTAAAAAATTGTACTAAAGATCTTCTCTGGGTAAAATGCTTGGGTAGATGAGTGACAGGGACAGGCACTGTCAGGACTCCTCCATGGGAGGTAGCATGCAAGGAAAGAGAAGTTTGTTCGTTCAGCAGGGATTTACTGTCTGTTCTTCACCAGCCCATCGGGTTCTGGGGTACATCTTTTAAGCGTGACAGACACTGACTCTACCACCTTAGACCTACAGTTTCAAGGAGGGTGAAGATGAGCCGACAAGTGGTACAATGTGGTGTCATTAATGCTGTGACTTAGGAATTGCAGAGAACTCTAAAGATGAGGTGCCCAGGGCGTGGGGGTGTGTCTGGATAGGCTTCCTGGGAAAAGTGATGTCTAAGCCAAGAATTGTTAGGAGTTAGCTGAGAGAGAAATGGGCAAGTGGGATGACTTTGTTGAAGGGCAGACACAACTGCATGTGAAACGCGGGGAGATGAAAAACAAAAAACAAGATTGGTTCAGTAAAGCTGGAGTGGGGAGAAGTGGGCAGGAACTAGGTTACAAAGCTTTGGGGACCACACTAAAGAGTTTGGACCTGATGTTGAGGGCAGCAGAGAACATATTCTCAAAATTGGCAGTAGTGTATAGATATGGGGGAGAGGTCGATTCCTGAGTAATTGTGGTGTAATCACCGGGGTCGATGGTGGTTCCATTTGCATGTGAGGGACAGCAAGAGGAACGAGTTGTGCTGGAAGGATGGAGGTGACCCCGTAAGAATGGCTGAGAGCATATACTTGGGAGTCAGACTGGGTTTGCATCTAGTGTTGCCATTTTTCTGTGTGTCAGCTAGTATTTATTGAGTATGTACTATGCTCTATGACCTTGGGCAAAATGACTACTTATCTGAGCCTGTGTTTTCTTTGTTTGAACAAGAGTACCTAGTACGTAAGGTTGTTTAGAGAGTCAAGTTAAGCAAAGTGCTTAACCCATTTTAAGCACTCTCGTGGTACTAGTTGCTGATCTCAACATGGGCTAAAGAGAGACATTCAAAGGTCAGAGATTTTCAACTGTGATCTAACAGAGGCTAGATTTGAGGTGTCCTTACAGAATGAAACACATGGGACATAGAGGGCACACTCTAGGGTGGGGATGGAGGTGGGGGTATGGAACCCAGGGCTTGACGGGAATTGTGGGAACCACCGTTAAAAACCAGTGGTTTATGTCGGGGTATAGAGATAAGGTCGTAAAGGAATTGGGAGCAGATAGGGGATGTTTAGCCCTTACTTGGCCAGTGTAAAACAGAGACCCCACTCTCCTTTACAACAGGGCCAGATTCAGACCATCTAAAGTCCTCAAGTTGAAAAACATGATGGTGCACCGTCACCCACCTTATGTAATTCAGAATAAAAGCAATACTGAACTGTATAATAAGTGTAACAAAGTCCAATAAAGTGTTTATTTTTTCTCATGATAACTTTGATATTAATGAAAATAACAAATTTTCTTTAAGAATTAGGGGGCAGTGTCCCTGCTGTGCTTGGCTATACCCTAAGAATGAATTACGTTGGAAACCCAGCAGTTCACTCAGGACGCAAGTGAATTATACACTTACGTGCTGAATTACACATAAGCATAAGTGTCAGCATTTCGAGTAAGCCCAGGATCAGACTGGAAGCAGGGGAGTGTTTTCAATGATGAGGCCTTAGGGTGTCATTGTACTGACACCTGAGGTGAGATGCCTAGTGTCACCAGCAGGAGCAGGCTCGCCTGTCTCCCAGGATCGCAGATGGAGGGCGCTGGCTTCAGGGTTTGCAGTGTGCTCTAGGAATTCATCAAAGGCAACAGCAGTGGGCCGTTTTCACCTATTTCCATCTGGGACAAAGCTTGCAGGCCCATGCTGGGTGTCTGCTCTCCAGGTTGGTCTTGGAAGAGACTCAGTTGGCTGGGAAATAAAACTTTCTCTTGGCAGTCAAAGATACTGCCCAAGAATGGCCACGGCCATCCGTGCTTTTGATGATCTGGACCAGATCATAACAGGGGCTTAATTTAAATCAGGACTGTTTTTGCCTGTTACAAGTCCTCGCTTGATTGTTATTTTCTTTTTACACATTCAAGCTAAAGTGAGGATTCAGTCATCTTGGTCACGCCTCAGACCTCTGCAGGTTGATGGCAGATACCAGGCTCATGCTTCCTAATGGGAGCTGCCGTTGATCTCTCTACTCCTTTGGTGTTGGTGTTGGTTGTATCCGTCCTCTTACCTAGAAGCCCGAATCAGGCAGCCTACTCAAGTGATGTCCTCAGTACTGCTGGGTGACTCAAGCCACACGACGCCTGTATCCTCAGTTGAAGAACAAGAATGGCTACCACATAAATAGCTGCATGTACCAAGCAAAGAACAGACATTGTCTACACCCCTGCAAGGTGGTGATTATTCTCCCCCTTTTACACAAACCAAGGCTCAGAGAACTGGGTGACTTGCCCACCGTTAGTAACAGGAAAAGCAGAGGGCCGGCCAAGTGGCTCAGTTGGTTAAGAGCTCACTCAAGAGTGCGAGCTCTGAGCAACAGCGGTTCGATTCCCGGCCCGAGCTGAGCTGCCAACAGGTGGCAGGATGGCTCAGCTTAAAAAAAAAATAAAGCAGAGCAGAAGCAGAGAAAGATACCCTAGGCTTAACTTAAGAGTTCTTTTTTTCAATTAGGTCTCATTGTCTCCTGGCCTATTAGGATATAAGGAGACAATGTAAGCTAGAGGCTGCTCAGGGAGTCAGCTGGATCGAAGCCACCCGTCACCACCAACCTAGGAAAGTCAGAAATCCTCTGAAGGCAGTACCTAGTCTCTTCTCAGGTCACTGTACCCCTAATGGCTGGTGCCTTATCAGGTAAGAGGGTGAACATCCGGTTACATTTTTTTCCCCCCAGAGAAGTGGGCACCCTAAAGGATTTTATTCATCTCCAGCTTTAAATGCAACATCATGCAACGTTTGCTGCCATGTATTATAGGAATGCCAAACCAGTGAAGAGTGGGCACTGGGAAACAGTAAGATATTTTAGCAAAGAAACCAGAAAGGACCAACGCATAGCACGGAACATCACTCCAGTGGCTCACAAAGTGCCTCGTAAGGATCCTCGGAACACCGCTGAGGTAAAAAGCGTTGGAGCCGTTAGCGCGACGTTTCCGGAGGTGAGAAACCTGAAGCTTCAGTCCTACAGCCGCCTCAGGGAAGCCTGGCCTGAGGAGCTGTGTGTGGCCGTGTAAGTCCTTACCTGGTGCGTCATCAGGAGCCGGCAGCTAAATGTGTAGACATCCTGCATGAGAGTGTTTCTCACGTGAGCCATCACCAACACACCAGACCCACTGTGGGGACCTGGCTTCTGTCTCCTCCGGGGCAGAATGCGTGCTCCTCTATAGAAACAAACACGCCGAGAAACGGCTAAGCATGCAGAGGACCAGGGTGGATCGAGCCATCATTACCCTTGGTACCCTCCCCCAAGGAGTCTGGGTTTACTTCTAGGTGCTTCTAGAATAAAATGTTCAATTCCATCTTGGGTCTCAGAGGTGAAACTCTGCTTTCTATTTTCCAAGAAGCCAGAGCGGGGGAAAAGCCAATTTTTAGACTGATGCTTCCTTGCTCTATAAAAAGCTCCTCCCTTCTTTCCCTCTGTTCCCTCTGGGCTAATAATAACACAGGCAGAGCCGAGCATCGCCCATCAGGAGGAAAGAGTGGCTCCAGTCAGACTGCCTGGCTTTGAATTTGAATCCCAGTTCTGCTTGACGAGCTGTGTGTCCCCGGGCAGACTGCTTACCTTTTCTGTGCCTTACTTTCCCCACAGGAGCAGTAATACTGCTTCAGTTGGGGTGCCTGATGATTAAATGAGACTGTGTGATGCACAGAACAGTTGATGCCAGCCCACATGAGCACTCGGGAATTGTCTGCTATTACTGGAAGGATTCAGGGTTGGTCTGGGAGGAACATACGGGCCCCAAGAGCTAAAAAATGTGCATATTGTCTCCACTGCTGTGCATTATCTTCCTTCTACACACACTGGTGCCTTACTGACGTGACGTGTACAGGCAGCCAGCCCCACATCTCCAGGACACGCTGTGCCACAAGTGCCCCTCCCAGCCTCAGCTGGAGGGAGTCCATCCAGACCATCCTGTACCATGAATCCTAAGGCCTCAGAACCTTTATCCGAACTGTCATTGTTACAAAAGGACTCCACACGCACTCAACCTTACAGGGATTTTTATTGTTTTAAGACCTAGTCATGCATACTAAAAGTACATGTTTTCACCACTTCGACTTAGAAAATGTACTAGAAAAATAAACTTTGGGTCAAAACAAACACTGAAGTAGATGAATCCACCACCGTGTGTCTGTACTCAAAGCCAAACTGAATTTCAGTTTGAATGAAGTGAGGAAGGTGACCAGTGGCTGAAATGGTGGTGCCCCAATCTGGTCACAAAATGAGCCCACCTCCCACCCTGTCAGGGTGGTGTCAGAGGCTCGTGGCCCCAGAGGGGTTTCAAGTATTTCACTTGCCCCAGGTTCCCGCCTGATACGCCAGGAGGCAAAACACATGCACAAGAATCCCTAACGGCAGCGGCTGACAAAACGCTCTGCCCAGTGAGATGAAAGGAAAAGCAAAGTACTTGCAAACAGGAAATGCATGACTAGCTTCTCCACCCACAAATCTCACGGGGTCTCCCCTCAGAGCCAGCTCTAGTAAGGAGGGGTACCTGACTGATGGCGCCTGTTCCCTGTATTTCAAGCAAACCATTTCTGATCAGGAGAGCAGAAAGGAAATTGGATTTCCAAAATGAACAGTTCCCGATACAGAGCGGCGTGAGAACTTACATCATTCAACAATCGGTACGTTGTTACCGTTTGGTATTTCCACACCCCTCATGCCACAGGACCGCCAGACTCAACATTAGGACCTAACATTTTACTTCGGAAATGAAAGAAGAGGTTTCAAAAGAAAACTTGAAGACGAGGTATTATAATAATGCCATAACAGTGCTATATAGCTTTTGCCTACCCAAAGAAAAAGGAATCCCGTGACGGATCTGAGAACCAGATGGCATTTAAAGAAACTGGGAGAATTCTGAAAGGCTCAATATCACAGGAATTTGGGGAAAATACCTCTTACTGCCCTGACACTTTCTGGCAAACACGTAGTATCTTGTAAGCAGGAGGAAGTGAGAGGGAGGTCAGGCCACTTGGCCAAGAGCAAAAAAAAAAAAAAAAAAAAGCCCAAGAGGGGAAGCTAGGGTTGCACTTCCAGCTGTTTCAGTAGAAGGCAGAATAGGATTCCAGGAAAAGGAACACTTTTCCAGAATTCGGTGTCGGAGTATGGGGTAAGAGGAGGAAGAAAACCCCCCATTATTACCTAAGCTGACAGATTGACTATTTGAAAGCTTTAGGTGTCAATTCATTCAGACCTAAATTTCCTGAATAATAACCCAGATGGGGGTGGGGAAGCCTCTAAAAAGACAGAGTACTGTCTCCCTGTGGCAGTAAGGATGATTGATGCTGGGAACAGAGAACTCAGAGCTCAGGGTGTGATCCCTTTTAGTAGATGACGATTTGGGGCGTGCAGTGGCTCGTCCAGGGCCACACAGCAAGGTGCAGCTGGAACTCAGGTCTCCCGACTGACTCCTGTTTTCCCTGGCCTACACCGCACTGCCCTGAATTTAGGGTGAAGTGAATTTTCCGGTGTCTGTGAAATGCGCTGGAGCTTTTCCTGAAGGAAAACAGTCCCAGCTCTGATGGTCACGTGTTTGCTCTGTCAGGGAGCCTCCACTACTGAGTCAGGTTCCCTGTGTGCTCCCCTGGTCACTCCCACGCCCGCCCTGCTGGGGGAAACTATACAAATGCCTGCTGAAGCCACACACAAGAGCACCTTGATTTTCACCCACGGAGGTCCTGCTTTCGCAGCGTGGGTCAAACCTCCTGAGGTGCCAAAACTACTGGATCTGTCTTTGGAGCCAAAACAAAGCACAGCAGCTCAAGGAGGCAGGCGAACCTTGGTTCGGGCTCCTTTCAGAAGCTGAATGAAATAGCTCCTTCAACCAACCGCAAAGGCCTGGGCAATAAGTCTTCCTGGTCTTTGAGATGCTTCTCTAGGCGAGCTTGGCCACCCCTATTGTTAAGTCACACAGACAAAGGCAATTGGCCAGGAATGCAATGCAGAGTCTAAACCTTGGATACTGGTGGGGCTGGCGATTCATCTCTCTCTCTCTGTCTAGCTTTTTGTTTTTAATCTCTCTTTCTTCTTTGGGACCTAAGAAAGCCTCTAACCCAAGGGTTGGCAAACTGTGGCTCACCAGCCACATGCGGCTCTTTGGGTACGTTCTGTCTCAAAAGTTTGCCGACCCCTGGAAGAGCCAATCCTGCCCCTCACCACCATTTAAAAATTATTCGAGAGCCATAAATATATTTTTGCACAATCACCATTATGTGAATAATATCCTTTAAAACTTTTATAAATGAAACTGATAGTTTTATTTCCATTTTCAATTTTACTTCAGAGCCACATGTATGTACCCAAAGAGCCGCATGTGGCTCGCGAGCCGCAGTTTGCTGACCCCGGGCGGCTCTTGCGTCTCAAAAGTTTGCCGACCCCTGCTCTAACCAATTGTCCCATCCAGCCAGTTGGGTTCTGAACCCTCTACATTAGCCATCCCACTTGTCCTATTTAGATCTTTTCAGCAATGCTGGTCACACCATCGTTGTCAGATGGAACTAGAGGTGGCCAGGGGTGTGCATGTCGGCACTTCCAGCTCAGACAGGTCCCTAGAGGATCCAGAGTTAGTCTCTATGGTGAAAAGAGCTTTCCCTTCAATTGGCACAAATGAGGTAATTTCCACCAACAACTTCTCCAGACATTTTGAAAAGTGCTATAAAGGTGAACAGTTTATTCCCAACAGACTGACCTCTGAATTTCACTGTACTGTTCTCTTCCTAACTGAGCCGTCCACCTTGCCTGGTGGCCTAATAAATGCACAGAGAAGGTACACACACACACACACACACACACACACACACACACACACACACACGACACATAGTACTTGTCACTTTTTAACACCATAATTGGCATGGAATGAATATGAAAGGAAAGAGTTCCAAAGCCACCAGATGAACCATCTAATCTGATGCATGGGCTAAGGCTGAATTCTTGACAGGAAGGGTCTAAAGTGCTGAGATGCAGAGCTAACATTCAGTCTGGCTGGACAGCGTAAAGTGTGCCTACCCGCACCAGAGAGAGAAACTCAAGTGGGCTGAGGAGGGCAGGGCCCCAGAAGTGACCCGGGAATAATCTGCCCTTGCATTCATTTCCGGAGACCAAAATTTCAGTATCCCAAGTAACTGAACCATTGCCTGTTGCCAGGTTTACAATATGGCACCAGAATCTCAGGGATGGAAGGAATTGCTACGACATCCTGGCCAACTCACCTGCCCTCACAAAAGCCATTCTTTTCAAGTTTCACCCCCACTATGAAAAGGAAGTCGGTATCACTGAGCCCCAGGGAATATACACACTTGTTTCTTTAAAGTCAGGGCCAGATGGTGACACGTCCCTCTTGGAGAGGCCCAGTGGTACCACCAAGAACAGGATCCAGCCACTTGTATCTAGAGAGTCATCTTTTTTAGGCAGAAAAGCGATGTCTAACATTCAATAACTAAATCAAACCCCAGAACCTCAGCAGCCCAAAGGGCCCCAGGCATCATTTCACTCAGCCTCGTTTTACGGATGAGAAAGCTGGGGCCCACAGAGGCCGGGTCTCATCCACAGTCACACATCTGAGGCTGGAGCCCAGGTCTCTTGAGTCTTAGGCCAGAATTCTTTGAGCTACACAGGCCTTGGCACCCAGTATTTTAGGTCGAGTAAAATCACATACTTCTAGGACCTGGTATGAGTCTATTGAGAACCAGGGCTAAGGCTTTATGGGTTTGGGAAAACTTAAGTTTCTATTGCAAGATTCAACCAACGAGCCCCAGAGATGCTTGAAGTCTACGGATCCCAAATTTGATCATGAAGTGCTGCGGACGTCCCGATGCGTGCCTGGTTCAGATAAGGGGCTTTCCAAACCCAGTGATGGCACCTGGGACCTGGACCTCAAACCTGAAGGTTCCCAACGAGCAAACTCCCAAAGTCTCATGTGTGGCCACCTTGTGGGCTTGGCCAGACTGTTTCGTAGGAGCGTGCTGACTGGCCAACCAGGTTTGCTCCTGGAACATGGGATCAACGTGCCTTTGGTCCTGACTTTCCTTGCTTTGAGATGTATAGGAACCAGACGCAGCTTCTGGATTAAGGGTTGCAAACTGAGATTCCAAACATTTGGGAGGATGTTTTCCATGGACTAATTCAAGTAATCAAGGGTGTCACCCTTGGCTCACTCTCAGAGCTCTACCGGCTTTTCCTCCATGCTGCAGTTTCATTCCAAGGAGCAAGACCGAGTGCGTGGCACCTCAAATTCTCCCTGTGCCTGTCCAGAGGAATGTAAGAGGATTTCAAGGTAGAGACACCCCTGGGGGACTGGCTAGTAGCAGGAGTACAGCTGGGATTTCACTGCCCGCATGGAGTCATCACACTGCGCGTCCGAGGTCAGCCCCTCGGGCAGCAGGGCCTGGCCCAGGATGCTGTCGCAGGTGGGGACGGGTTGGCAGAACTCCTTCACAAAGTCCTCCTCGGAGGCCAGCAGCTCCGCGTTCCAGGCGGCGATGTCCAGCTCGCCAGCCGTGCCCCCGTATTCCTTGGGAAGAATGCTTCTGGGAAGGTTTGTGTGGAGAGAGTTTAGGTCAGATCCATGAAGGAAAAACTAAAGGGGAAAGAAATGAAAACAGACAGGTCCTTAGGTTCATCAGTAATTCAGTAACCTCCTGGATAGAAAGTGCTCGAATAAATATCTGATGAATGAATAAAAAAACGGTTGACGGCACCCCTACCCTTCCAGTTCCCTGAAAAGCTGTTGGATCCTTCATTCTCTTTTCCATATACTCCCTGGCCTGTTGGCTGGTACTTCAAAATATATCCAGGATTCAGCCACTTGGCTGCTACCCTAAAGGTGCCACGCCACCATTATTTCTCACCTGGATTCCCGCAACAGCCTCCTATCTGCTCTCCCTGCTCACATGCCTGTCCTACCTCGGAAGCTCTTTGCAACGGGAATCAGGTCACATCACTCCTCTGGGCAACCCTCCAGGGCTCTCATCTCACACAGACTAAAAGCCGCTCTATCCGATGGCCCACAGGCCACAGTCTGGCCCCTTTACTTCTCTGTACCCACCCCCGCTGCTCCTCACTGGGCATGCTCGCTGGGCACGCTCCTGCCTCAGGCTCATGCCATGGCCGGTCCCCAGATATCTGTAAGGCTTTCTCAACTTCACCTCTTTGCTTAAGTGCCAACTTCTCAATGACCCCACCTCTAACCACCCTATTGAATACTAAACCCCTTATCCCTTCCCGCACTCACTATCCCCTTTCTCTGCTTAATTTTTCTCCACATCACCTTCTAATACTAGATAACACACATAATCCTTTGTCTGTGTCTCCCTAGAATGGAAACTTCCTGGAGGCAGGGATTTTGGTCTGTTTTGTTCATCTAGATTCTAGAACATATGTGCACAGAGTAATTGGTCAATATCTTTGAATGAACGAATGAACATACAAAGGACCAAAGGAACAAGATTACGGGCCGTGAGTAAGGTCATTTCATAGATGTAAATGACCTGGCCCAAGGGCTGCTTTGGTAAAAGCAGGTTCCCAGCAGGGTCTCCAGAAACCAGCATAGGCTCAAACCAGGCATGGCGGCCACTGAGTTAGCGGTCCTCAAACCTAATGGTGCGTCAGAATCACCTAGGAGATTTTAGAAGCACAGACTCTTGGGCTCCACCTCTGAGTGGATAAATTAAAAACCTCAGGGAAAGGCCTGGGGATCTGCATCTGGACTTTTAAGGTCCCTCCCTTGCAATCTTGAGATTCTCTATCTCTCTCTGCTTTCTTTTTGAAAAAGAATATGAAATTCAAGAGCCAGTCTTTGGAGCGACTACAGTGTTCATAGGCCTAGATAGGGAGGAGAGAAAGACCACCCAGCACATTTCAAACACGGTACCAGGAAAGGTTAAGGAGAAGTGGCTCTTCCATCTTTTAAAGTGTCATCTAGCCTTTCTTAAATAAGAAATTAAGCTAAAAACGCACGTATCTCATACACCTTGAATTATTCCACAGACTTTATACAGCAAGACAACATATTAAGCAAATGGAAAGGCTTAAATAGCATTTTTAAACCCCAAGACGCTGTAGTAAGAAACCGCCACAACTCTTTCTAACCCCAAAGGCTACCCCCTTTTCCATGTTCTCTTACACATCAAATGCACTGTGACTTCACAGTACCAGGGCCAGAATATTAAAAAGTCCAAATGATTACAGAGCAGGGATGCTCTTAGAAAAACCACCCTGACATTGCTCTCTCTCTGCTTTCTTATTTATATTCTTATTAATTTCATCTTTCCCTCACAGACAAGATTGTTCATTTGTTTTATCAGTGATCCTGTACTTTCCAAATGTATAGTCTCGGGGCTAAAATAATCAACAAAGATAAGTTTATCGATGTCACGATAACTTTACAGATGTCACAAATAAGGGAGCCAAAAAAATTGAAGTATCTTAAATCAGTAGGATCATCACTTACTCTGTTGGCGATTTTCTCCTTCAGGAATGGTTTTATGATGGCAAAAATGCCTTTAAATATCCGAGGTTCATTCACTACATGGACTGCTTTTATCCGAATGGGGAAACCATCCTGTGGGGGAAGGGAAGAGGATGTTAGAACATGCGGAGTATTTGCAAACTGTCTGTTACCACAGCCTGCCTCCCCTGTCTAAATCTCCTTCATTTTAGGCCCCAACATCAGACTAGACGGTCTGATGCTCACGGCCTCCTCACAGACAGCCCAAGTGGGGGCTGGACGGGAAGACAAGCCTCAGGAAGCATCTCTCCTGGGGCCCAGAGCTGGGTTAGGACAGAGGCCAACAAGTGGAGAGCTGCTTCTGTGGCAAAAAAATGGCCCGAGCCTGTATGGATGGATCTAGCAAATATCAGGCCTGATCACTGCTGCCCAAGGTGCGTTTCTCAGGATGTTACCAGGTGTGATGCAAAGAAAAAAAAAGGGTTCCATGGTGGCTAAATACATTCAGAAACAGTAGGCTCAATATAGACAAACAGGTTTCCTGAACTGCAGACCTGTTCAGAGGTTTTGCTATGTAAATGTTTACAGTGAAATTCACAAGGAAGGGACACACTATCCCCCATTCCCCAAACTTATTTAACCCGGGAACTTTGTCCCCAGGTCATCTTATAGGGCTAGAAAAACACTGACTCAAACTCATTTTACTGACCCTGGCATCTACATGGTATTTAGCAGAAGGCTTCAAAAGAAGAGTGGAAGCCAAGGAGAGCCTGAGTACTGCCTCACAGCCAGAATTCAAATTTCTGATAATGACCTAATGTGACATTGATGTTTAAATAATCAGCCCGGTGCACAGTAGGGCCTCAAATACATTGTGGAATTTGACGCAGAGAACTGCCCTATCTCTGGTGCCCCGCGGCTTGTAAGAGACAGCACCCCACGGACTGGGTCAGAATGAACCAGGGGTCAAGCCTGTGGAGAGACCTGGGCCACGCTACCTCCTCTAGGCCTCAGTTTCCCCATCTATTAAAATGGCAAAATAGTTCTTGCCTTGTCTATCTCAGAGGATTCCTTGAAGGACTGAATGGGCTATAATGACCGTAAAAACAAACGGTTACACACTGTGAAGATATCAAAGGAGCTTTAATGGCTTCTAGCAACTTCTGTTCTGCAACAAAGAACATAAGGTGTGAGAGCATCCGGCCAAAACAGTCCAGCAGTGCTCCGTGTCCCCAGGTCCCACAGCGGGCAGGACGGGCTCTGTCAGCTTGGGCAGAAGCACAATTTCTCGGTTTCATTTGTTAGGAGAATTTCTCCTCTGCCTTCTGGACCAAACCTCCCTCCCCAAAAAAAGAGACAGAAAGAAAGCACTGCTCTGGTTTTTGGACTCTTGCCCTGAAGCTGATCTTGCCCAGATTGAAGGTACCTCAGAAACTACAGGAGACCTCCTCACGGTATGAGCGGTAAACAGAACTTGTACATTTTTTCCCATAGTGCTTTTGTATTTTTCTGATTGTAGGAGTGAAAGTGGGGTGTGTGTAGCACGTGGGTAAATGGACAGGGTCCCGGGAAAAGCCAAAACAACTATAGAACAGGCATGCGACAAACCGGGGCCATACCTGAAGGATGCCAATCACCTTTTTGGCTATAAAAGGACCAAAGTGCGATGCTTTTGATAAGCTCACTCCTCTGTAGTCTGCAAGGATTACAATTCCATTCACTTGGGTTTCTTCCGACTGAATGAGTTTTTCTAATGTCAAGTATATGGCTCGGATGTTTTCGGTAATTGGATAGTTGCTCGGTATCCATCTGTCTAAGGTCATAAGAGGGGGACAGTATGTTACAGAAATAAACACAAACAATCAGACAGGCTAATATTTATCTCCGTGCTAAAACTGCTGTTTAAACATGGAAAAGCAAGATATTCTACTGGCATATAGGTTGGGAAATGGGACACTTCCAGCAGCAGCTGATGTTTCTTAACTCCAAACACAGCAGCACATGCGGACGTGGAAATGCAATTGAGTGTGGAAGTTAAAAAGATTGAGCTCTGAAGTCAGACACACCTGGGGGTTTGAATCTTACTAGCTGTGTGACCTTGGGTAAGTTACTTCCTCACTCTGAGCCTATACTGCTTCCTAAGTAGAATGGGATAATAGTACTTACCTTAACGAACATCTGTGCCTTCTGTCATCAGATGTGTCCCCTTATCTTCACACCACCACCCTAATGTTCCTTGGGCAGCGACCTCTTCCCATGCTAGCCATGCAGTTTGGGTAAATTTGACTTGACTCCAGGCGCCAGATGTGGGCTTGGCCAATCTAGGTCTTACATACCCCTGGCCACAGTGTGTGATCCAAGCCAGGTCAAGCAGGGCCAAGGGGATTCAATTCGGGGGCCCCTGGCCCTTTGGAAAGAGAAGATTTCTCTTCCCTCTTGTAGTGGGGAGGTTGGACGCCTGAGGCTCAGGGACCCCAGGAGGCAAGAACTGGTTTGAGAAGGAAGCCCACGCTGAGGACAGCAGAGATGGAGAAGGCTTTCCAATGCTGTATTGTTAGCGAACCCCTCTTTCCAGGCTGGACGCCCCTTTCCTACTCCCTCTATATTGAAGGAGTCTTTCCTTCATTTGGGAAAAAGATGAGTGACAACTTTTGACTGTTAACCACTATTCTCAAGAAAATCGCACCAAGCCCTGTATGTCCCTTTGATTACCACCAATGGGATCTGTAACATATGCAAAATTCCTATGAAAAAAAATCTTTGTCCAAAAATGGTATCAGCTTGCTGTTTAATGTTGCTGCCAATTAAACCTGCTTCTACATAACTGGCTATCATCCTTTGCAGTCACGTATGTCTCAAAAGAGCTTAGAAAAAGGCAAAGCCAGTCCCCGGTTGAGGACAAAACCTTCTGTGTATGCCTCCTCCTAAAAGGCTGAGTCAATGGGAAGGGGTCTAGATCTGCTCCAGGCATACGGGGAAAAAAGAATTCATCTCACGAGCAAAGGGTTGAAGCCACGCAAGCAAAGAGGTGAAACCAGTGTGGGAATATCTGACTGTTTTGTAAGATTCTTATCAGTTGAGCACAGAGGAGCAGCAGAAAGCCCAGTGACCGGTTTCTAGGTCTCCTGGTGCCTTGAAATCTCCACTGCATTGCTTATTTTAAAATAGACACCCCTCATTTTGGAATGGGCCTAAAATATCAGGTAAAGCAGTTAGTTAACACTGTGCCTGTGCACAGGAAAGGCTCAAGAGAATGGTTTCGTCTCCAAAGAGGGTTTGGTCAGTGATGGAAGGAAATGGCGATGTGAGGCTTAAACGAACAGGAAGGTGCAAGGGGGTTCCCATGCCCCATCAGACATTCCCTTCAGGAGGCATTTGTGCGCGTGAGCAGAGGGCTGCCAACAAGTTCTCGTTTTCTGGCTTGTTGGGAAGAACGCTACAGTCTTCCTTTCAAATTGCGCCTCAGCTCTGGTCTGATGGAAAATGTCGCGGCTAGGGGTGGGTGGAGGACTCAGTCCTGAGTTTCTAATGTATTTGGTGTCACAGAAGAGAACAGGATCAAGGATCAGGAAGCTTGAGTTCTAGCATCTCCTAGTAGCCGTGTCAACTAAAAAATGTCCCCACGCATTTCTAAATTGAGTTTTTTCAATTTCCAATGGAAAATTACTGTGCCAAAGAAATGCAAGGTGTCCTGATCACTATCGTGAAGTGCTAAGATCAAAAGGTGAACCTAAAGTGCTTCCTTTCAATGGCTTAACAAAATGGAGGAAAGGAGGGGACGGCTGGAGGAGACACGTGGTAGACGGGAACCTTTCCAGGAGTTGCCCAGCCAGCACTGGTAACTGTACCTCACCTACTCACAAAGGAGGGACAGGGCTGGGGGTCCTGGCAGCCTTGCTTGTACCCTATGACCAGAGCAGCTTTCTCCGCTCTAGAAATCTGGGATTTGTATAGAAGGGCCTTAGTTGGGTGGCCAGGTAAACCCGAGAGCTGAAGGGTGCCAGATCCAACCATGTGCACAGAGGCAGCAAAAGCCAGTCTAAAAGAGAAGAGTGAAGAAGATCTGCAAAGGGCAGCAGGAACGTGTGGCCCAGGGAGACGCACAGACTGAGAGACAGGCAGCTGCAGAGACGGGGAGAATGGCTGGCTTAGTTCCGGAAGTAGGAGTGAACTGGGCTCACGTTCTGTGGGATGTTCCTGTCTCCTTAGACTACATCCTCTTTTTATTTTTTTATTTTTATTTATTTATTTATTTTAAAGCTGGGTTGAGTAGGTTTTTGTCATCTGCAATCAAAAGAGCTTTGACTAAAACAGGGAGGGGACAAAAGGGCATGGAAGAGGGTACTGGGAAGACACATCCCAAACAGAGACTGTACACACGCGCCCCGCAAGTCTAATGCAATACCTGGGCGGATGCACAGGATATGGCAGCCCCGGGGGTCGGTGTGGGGCAGCACGGTGAGGAATCCGGAAGCGAGGACATCTTTTAAGGCCGACGGCCTCAGGTTACTGAAGACCTCGGGCCAGCTTCTCCTGCAGCTGTGGTAGTTGATCAGGAGCTGCAGGGCCCGGTCGTAATCAAACTTGCGGGCTCGGAGGAAACGCAGCAGGAAGGCATCGTCCAGAGAGGTGGTCAGGTGCGGGTACTCCTTCCTCACCATGTCACGGAGGGCCTGGACATCTCGAAGTCTCCATTCCGGCTTCTCCTGCAGCTCTTCCCTGGCCTTGGTGACCAGCTCTTCGGTCAGCGAGCACACGTAGCCAGGGGGCTCGGGCGCTGGTAGCAGCTCATTTTCAGAAAGTGAGGCCGCAGAAGGGCTGGTTCTCAGAGAGTCACTTTCTTCTGACATTAGCTATCGGGATCCCTGTCAAAACCGAAGCCCCAAGTGAGGTTAATAAAGCTCACAGCTCATTTGGAGCCCCAGGGCAGCTGGTATAGGGGGCCAGGAACATTTTGGTCAAGCCACGTGACCTCAGAGCAGTGGTTCTCCACTGGGGGAGTGAACGGGAGTTGAACCACGTGCCCAGGTCCAGCCCAGACTGAAAGAAATTAGAATCTCCATGGAGACATCCGGGCACCTACAGCAGGAGACACGCGCTCCTCATGAAACACCATGGCCTTGCTTACAGATGTATATGAATGGGTGCTCAGCCTTACTCATAATTAAAGAAATGTGAATTAGAACAACTCTGAAATTCAGACTGGCAAAAATACAAAATGGGGGCTCGGATACGCTTCCTGTTGGTGGGAGAATAAGTTGACATAGCCTTTTTGGAGGGCAGTTTGTCAGTATCAAATTTTCAAACCACATCTAACCCTTTGGCTCAGCACTCCATTTCTAGTACATATGCTTATATGTGTGTACAAAATATGTACACGAGGGCAGCCATTACAAGTATTGGTTATACTGGCAAAACATAGGAAACACTTGAACTACATACCCGTTTGAGACTGGTTAAATAATATTACCATATGAATGGGATACTATTCAGTCATGAAAAGAATTGAGGCAGATCTTTATAAATTGATATGCTAAGGAAAAAGAACGCAGGTTGCAGAACAGTGTACATAAAATAATTGTGTGGATATTTTAAAAATATATACATACATATACTTGTGAGTGCACCTAAAATTTCTGGAAGGAGATACAAGAAACTGTTGCCAGTGGTTCCCAGGAAACAGAACTGGAGAACCAGACATTTAAGGTAGAGGAGACTATCTACTGTACTGATTTTTTTTTTAACCGTACACATGTGACATCATGGAGGCCATGAAACTGAGCTCATCAGATTTCCTGCTAGGGTGGAGCATAATTGACAGATGGCCTCAGCTGCTGTCCCTCTGAATACCACACTTTCCACAGACTGTCCCCAGCCAATGACTGAGACATGGGACTCCTCTAACAGGCAACTCAGCCTCAAGGACTCCCTATCAGCCTTGCCGAACCTTTCGCGGAACTGCTCTGCAGTCCGAGACTTCCTGCCCAAACCTCCTTCACAGGGGCCGGGCTGCTGTAGCTGTCTGAGGGGGTCTCCCTGGCTTATCCAGCTCCCCTCCCTCTGTTTCATGGGTGTTACATGTCTAATCTCATCCTAGTGTCTGCTTAGAATACCTGAACCAACATCATACTTATCGAGTGAAAACCAAAACTGCTGCCTTAGATATTCCAGGATTAAGACTGGGCAGCAGGGCTGCCCAGTCTCAAAGCCCCATCTCTTCTCCATGATCCCCTACTCCAAGCTCAACAAGGAAGGCAGGGACCATCTCTGGGGTCTCTGCACAGAGCCAGCCTCCCCCCAGCCCACAGCAGCCAGAGTGACCAGGTCACTCCCTCTAAACCTTACGTCTGCCTACTCCATTCCTTGCAGCCTAACTTCCGGCCTCATCCAGCTTCTTCCGCTTCCTCCCAAAGGTGTGTTTTCTTGTCTTGAGCACATCCTGATTCTTCCGACTAGCATGCTCTTTCTCCAGTTTGTCACCTGACTCATTCACCCTTAAGTTCCAGTTAGATGCCATTTCATTCATTCAACCAAGACCGAGCACTTATGAGGTGCCAGGCACTGGGGATACAGCAATGAACCAATAAAAAAAATCCTGCCTTTATTGAACTTAGATACTAGTGTGTGTGTGTGTGTGGGGGGGACTATCAGCAAAATGAACTATAGTCTACTAGAAGATGGTAAGTACAATGGATAGAAATAAAGCAGGTAAAGGGGTTGAACGTATCTGGGGGTAGGACTTCAATTGTGGATAGGGTGGTCAGGGAAGGCCTCATCAAAGTGACATTTGAGCAAAGACAAAGGAGATAAAGGAACAAGCCATGCAGATATCTGGGGGAAGAGCAAATGCAAAATCCGAGGCAGGAACACGCATGGCTTTTTCGAGACACAGAGAGGAGGCCTGTGTGGCTCGAGCCAAATGAGCAAGGCAGAGAGTATTAGTGGAAGGATTCAGAGAGGTAACAGGGGGTCCCATTGGTGCAGAGCTTTGTAGGCCAGTAAGAGCTTTGACTTTTAATCTCAGTTTGGTGGGAGCCATGGAGGGTTTCGGGTAGAGTGACATGATCAGATTTATAGTTTAAAAGGATTACTCAGCTGTCTTGCGAATGGACTGTAAGGGGAAGAAGACAGGAGTAAAGAGGCCATTTAGAGGTTATTGCAATAATTCAGACAAGAGATGATGGTGCTTAAAGCAGGAGGCCTTCTCTGACTCTAGGCCAGGTCAGGAGCCTTCGCCACAGGAGCTCTTTGACATAGCAAGCACTTCTCCCACTCCACTGTAATTGTCTGTAGGTAATTTGTGGGCAACATTCACCTCTGTCTTGCTCATCACCTTAAACCCAGCACCTAACAGGGTGTCAGACATAGTCGGCACTCCATAAATATTTGTTGAATGAGTTTAATCTGCTTGGCAGAGGTATGCTGAGGGAGAAATGGGGCAACAATCATAGTTCATAGGACCCACCCTCGGCTCCGTTTCCATGGGGGGTCACCAACAGACACCTGTAATCCCAACCCAGTGCTTACCCAAGAGAGACTGTAGCGTCCTAGCCTCCAAGTGTCCCTCTGCAGCCTATCTGCCACCTTTCCCCCTCTCAATGCACATTAAATGCCAGTCAAAACAAACTAATTGCCCACAATTCTCAGAACACCTCATGCATTTTTGATACCACTGCCTGGAATTTCCTCTCCTTGTTTTTCCCCAACCAGACAACTCATCATCTTCCAGGCCTAGCTTCAATGTCACCTCCTCTGTGAAGCCTTCCCTGGTTCCCCCAGGGTGAGTCCCTCCAGTTTTCCACAGCACCCGGTTCCTAGTCTTCTTTCAGGATTGGCACTCTAGTGTCAAGGGTGTTTACTTGAAACTCCTCAGTCAGTTTCACCCTCTATTCATTATCTAATAATTACTGATCACCTACAGGCACTGGGCACTCAACAGCGAACAATGTAATTCTTTGCCTTATGAAGTGTAACTTATAGTGGAACAAGGAAAAGAGAATAATATACACTTGATCATTTTACCATGTATCATGCGCCATGATAAGCACTGTACATCCGTCTGTCACTTAATCTTTACAGTATTCGGTGACAGCACTATGACTGTTCCCATTTATACAAAAGAGGAAACGGCCCACTAGAATGTAAATTCCATGAGGGTAGACAATTTGCTGGCACATTCATTGCTATCCCCAGTGCCTGGCACATGATGGTGCTCAGTAAATATCAGCAGATGGTGTGAGGTTAAGTGATGTGCCCAAGGGTACACACCTAGTGAGGCAGAGGAGGACGTGTCTAGCCCCACACAGGGCTCTACCCTCCACCTGAGCTTCCTGTTCAATCTCCAAGGTCTTGGCAGTGCAAAGCACAGGGCAGGGGTCAGTCAGTCTGGTGAATAAACTGATGGGTGGGCATAAGGAGAGATGCAAACACCCTTTGTTAGGGTGCAGCCGGCAATCGTCCTTACCGGGAGCCCACCACTCCGTGAGCATCACCTAGCCTTCCCACCAAACTCAAAGAAGAGACCAAAATGCCATCGCTCTTGAAGCCCCAGAGACCCTACACGCCGTTGACAGCCTTCCGAGGCCCCCCACTTCCGGTTGTCACCCCGTCCCTAGGTATCCCCATTTCCTGGGGTCTCTCTCCTAGGGTCCCCCACTTCCGGTTATCCCTCCCTCTCTGGGGTCCCTTTCCCCGGCCCCCGGGGCACATGGACCGGCTCGCGGGCACTCACCGGCCCGGCTACGGGGCGGAGCGCGGGTCAATCGGCGGCGGGAGCCTCGTCCGGCAGCGCGCACAACACCGACCCGCACTCCCTGCCCGGCCGGCCCGGCCCCTCGCGCCGGAAGTGACGAACGCGGGGGGTGCGGAGGCGGGGCGCCGCCCTCGGTGCCCAGCGGCGACGTCACCCCGCAGTGCCGGCGTTTTGTCCCCACCTGGCGGCCGGGACCCCGCGCAGTGGGACGCTAGTCTGGGGAGGAGGAACCGGGAGCCCCGCTAGGCCAGATGGTGCAGCTGGGGAAACCGAGGCCCAGAGAAGGAAGGAAAGCAGCTGCCGTTTTCCGAGAACGTACCACCATGTACCTGGTGTTTTACATCCATTGTCTCGTCAAATCCTCATATTTATGGAAACTATTTCATGAAAGAGAACTTGGCAATCAATGAAGTCAAGGGCTGAAAGCCTAGACCTCGGGATTAGCCTTCCAGGATTCTTCCCGGCTGTGAGGTTCATGAGGTCCCCTTCAGAAAGTGGTAGCTTGAAAAAGACTTGACTCGCTCCCACCCCAAGTCCATTTAAACCTCTAGCCCCGCCAACATATATTTGGTGTAATTATAGCTTTGAGACAAATCTCCTAGATCCCTCTTTCAGGCAGAGTGAAGACGTAACGCCATTTTTAAAGAAAAATTCTGTGGTCCAGGAGGACTCAGAGCCCAAAGGGGCATCCAAGAGATAACCTTAATCTGTTACTGTCCCTCCCTCAGGGACAAAAGGTCCCAGGGAGATGAGAACTGACGCAAGAGAGCCACAAGACCCGGGCAGTTTCTGCCAGATGCTAGACTGTGTGTGAGGGGGGTGGGGGGGGGGGGGAGGATGCAAATCAGTAATTACAGAATCTTTCAATTTTATCATCTCCAGTGTGTTTGAAAACCATAGATTCTAAATGTGGAAGAAAGGAGCTTTAGATGTAATATAGGTTAATTAAAAGCCCCTAATGCTGTATTTGCATTGGAAACACCTGCGTGAATTCAAGAGATGTGCTTTTAAAAAGAAATGTATATGTGTGTGTGTGTGTGTGTGTGTATACACACACATACACATGTATACATAAAAATATGTAAATATATATACTGTATATAGTTCTATCCA